TAAAACACTTCATATCTGACATGTCTGGGCAGTCAGACTTCCCCTTAGCAGGAGATTAGGCTTGTAGTCTTTCCCAGGGGTCAGGAACCTCTTCTTCTAGAGCACCTCTCTACCCAGCTGTCTTTTAGCTCAGTAGCTATTGGTGTTTCTAGATACCTGTCTCTCTACCCAACAAGGGAGGCTTTTAAAAAGCACAGGAAGGTCTAAAGTGGAATCAGCTGACCCTAACTGGTCCAAGCTAGCTCTGTTCCATCTGATCTTAATCTGCCTGGGACAACCCCATGTCAGCTGCTCCTGCTTGACCTGCAGTAACCCACTTCTAATTAAAAGGGGATTTGGCATTTTAGCCTTCTAGTGCTGCCTTTTCCTTTTTACAGACCTCTGCTTTGACTTTGTCCCTAGCTACTACTGCTGTTTTTAGAGTACTGCCCACAGTGATTCCAAAGATCTCTTTCTTGAATGGTAACAACTAGTTTAGACCCCATCATTTTGTATGTAGAGTACTTTTGTATTTTCTTTGATTTTTGCCTCTATATAAATCCATGGCATGACCATATTCTGAATACTGCATGCAGCTCTCGTTGCCCCATCTCAAAAAAGATCTACTGAAATTGGAAAAGATTCAGAAAATGGTAACAAATATCATTAGGTGTGTGAAATAGCTGCCATATTAGAATATATTAATAAGAATAGGAGTTTTCAGTTTGGAAAAGAGATGACTAAGGCGGATACAATAGATGTCTATAAAATTAATTGCCTGGAGAAAATATATAGGGAAGCATCCTTCACTTTTGCATAATACAAGAACCAGGGGTCACAAAATGAAATTAATAGGTAACAGGTTTGAAACAAACAAAAGGAAATAATACTTCATATAGCATGGATTTAACTGATGGAACTCTTTCCTACAGGATATTAAGAAGGTCAGTACTCTAACAGGGATATGTTCATGGAGGGTAGATCTATCAATGGCTATTAGTATATAAATATATACTAATATATTAGTATAAATATAGTTCCCATCTATAAAAAGGGAAATAGGAACAACCCAGAAAACTACAGACCAGTCAGTTTAACTTCTGTGCCAGGTAACGTAATGGAGCAGGTAAATAAGGAATTCATCTGCAAACATCTGGAAGAAAATAAGGTGACAGATAACAGCCAGCATTCATGTGTAAAGAACAAATCATGTCAAACCAATCTGATAGCTTTCTTTAATGGGATAACAAGTCTTGTGGATAAGAAAGAAGCAGTGGATGTGGTATACCTACACTTTAGTAAGGCATTTGATACAGTCTTGCATGACCTTCTTATCAATAAACTAGGCAAATACAACTTAGATGGGGCTACTATAAGGTGGGTGCATAACTGCCTGAATAACTGTTCTCAGAGAGTAATTATTAATGGTTCACAGTCATACTGGAAGGGCATAACAAGTGGGGTTTCACAGGGGTCTGTTTTGGGACTGGTTCTGTTCAATATATTCATCAACGATTTAGATGATGGCATAGAGAGAATGCTTATTAAGTTTGCAGATGATACCAAGCTGGGAGAGGTTGTGACAGCTTTGCAGGATAGGGTTATAATTCAAAATGATCTGGACATACTGGAGAAATGGTCTGAGATAAATAGGATGAAGTGTAATAAGGACAAATGCAAAGTACTCCACTGAGGAAGGAACAATCCATTTCGCACATACAGAATGGGAAGCAACTGTCTGGGAAGGAGTACTGCAGAAAGGGATCATAGTGGACCACAAGCTAAATATAAGTCAACAGTGTGACACTGTTGCAAAAAAAACAAACATGATTTTGGGATGCATTAACATGAGTGTTGTGAACAAGACAATGGAAGTCATTCTTCTGCTCTACTCTGCACTGATTAGACCTCAACTGGAGTATTGTGTCCAGTTCTGGGCACCATATTTCAAGAAAGATGTCGAGAAATTAGAGAAGGTCTAGAGAAGAGCAGCAAAAATGATTAAAGGTCTAGAAAGCATGAGCTGTGAAAGAAGGCTGAAGGAATTGGGCTTGTTTAGTTTGGAAAAGAGAAGACTGAGAGGGGACATGATAGCAGTTTTCAGATGTATAAAGGGTATTACAGGAAGAAGGGGAGAAAATTGTTGTCTTTGGCCTCTGAGGATAGGACAAGAAGCAATGGAATTAGACTGCAGCAAGGGAGGTTTAAGTTGGGCATTAGGAAAAACTTCCTGACGATCGGGGTGGTTAAACGCTGGAATAAATTGCTGAGGGAGGTTGTGGAATCTTCATCACTGGAGATATTGAAGAACAAGTTAGAGAGATACCTGTTAGGGATGATCTAGATGGGGCTTGATGATGCCTTGAGGACAGGGGACTGGACTTGATGACCTCTTAAGGTCCCTTTCAGTTCTAGTATTCTATGATTCTATTAGCCAAGGTGAGCAGCATGGGCAGCAGGTATAATAAGCCAGGGAAGGCTAAACATTCTCTGGAGCATCTGTTGCCAACCTGCTTCTGGACACTGGGCTGAAGTAAATCCACCCTGCTCCCTGGAAATCCATGCTGCTAGCCACATCCTTCCTCCTCTTCGGAGGCAGAGTGAGGAGTGATGCGGCAAGCCAGCAGCAGGCAGGTGGCTGGCAGCCAGGGGTTTCTGGTGTGTGAGTGAGACTCCACCAGCCATGGGGACTGGCCTCGTGTGGGATGTGTGCAGCAGCTCCACCTAATGCTCAGGGGACCAGCAGCTTCTATGCAGGGACCTTTAGGAGCTAGGGACAAGGGGTTTGGTCCAGCCTATTGCTCACATTGGCCAGTGGCTCAGCCCAACACTGGACCAGGTTTGGCTCAGCTGGAAGGAGGGGGACTTTAGGTGTAGGCAGAGAGGTGTCTCAGCCTATGCTGGGAGGGGTGTGGTCAAGGTGGGGGGCATTAGCTCAGCCCAGTGTGACTAGGTTGGGCAGGCTGTGGCTCCTCTGGTTGTAGGAGGGCCCTTCATGGCTCCTTCTGTTAAGGAGGTAGTTTCAGGGCTCTGGCACACAGAAGGTGGGACCTCATGCAGAAGGGGTGGAGTGATGGGCTAGTCTCCGAAAAGCAGGGGATTCACCTGCTCCTCATGATGGGCAGGTATGGTGTCCATACTCTCTCATGGTCAGAATCTGGGATTGGGTGACAGAGGACGGATGACTTTATTATTTTGTTTATTCCGTCTGAAGCACCCGATTTTGGCCACTGTCAGAAGAGAGGTTATTGGGCTAGACAGACCTTTGGTCTTACCCAGTATGACATTTTTTATGTTTTTACTGAGCAGATCACCTATATTCACCTCTTGCTGTATTAAAGACTAAATTAAAAATTGCTTGTCTTTTTTGGCTTCCAGGACTAGCTGATCAAAGAAGCAGTCACTACTGGTGCCTAGAAATTGTATTCCCAGCTACCCAATAAATATAAGAATAATTGAAATCCCCCATTATGTTTTTACTTTTCTGTCTGCAAGATAGCCTCGCTAATGTTCCTGAGTATTTAACAATCACTATCGTGACCTTGGTCAAATGTTTTTAGTATTCAGGCATGGAATGACTGTCCATACAACTTCTGTGGTGTATTTTCATTCATTTAGGATTTTAACATATTTGACCTTGCTTTCCTTTACCTATACAGGCAGTCCCCGGGTTACATGGATCCGACTTACATCGGATCCCTACTTACAAATGGGGTGAGGCAACCCCACACTAGCTGCTTCCTCCCAGCAGACCAGAGAGATGCGAAGCTAGCGCCTCCCCCTTCCCCCCCAGAAGACCAGGGAGACACAGAGCGGCTTTTCTCAGCAGACACCTCAGCTTGAGAATAAAGGACTGAGGGAAGTGAGGTGTGGGAGAATAAAACTGAGCTCTGGAAAAATGTTTGGCTAGAGTTTCCCCTACAATATGTACCAGTTCCGACTTACATACAAATTCAACTTAAGAACAAACCTACAGTCCCTATCTTGTACATAACCCAGGGACTGCCTGTAGTGCCATACCCACATCGGGAAGATATACTCTGCCATGACTATGTATATATAACCTGACATTGCTATGTCCCATTGATTATCATCATTCTACCATATTTCTGTGATGCCTATTATATCAATAGTCTCATTTAGGTTCTCAAGTTCACTCAATTTAGTGTTTAGATGACCTTTAACAAGCACATAAAAATTGTAATATTTAATTGTCTGCCTCCATATGATGTAATTTAATAAAAATCTTTATTGTTTATTGCTTTCCTTTTCTTACTTGTATTTTACTTTATTGACTAGAAGAGGTTAGAAATTGATAAAGAATATTCCTTGAAGAAATCTTCCCCTAAGGCAGAGTGTCTCAAAGTGGTCTTCTGACCCACTCTGAGAAAGCTGTTAACAGGCCGCTCTGGTTTGTTTACTTACCGGCTCCTCAGGCCGTGTAGCCCTGCAGCTCCCGTTGGCTGCGGTTCACCATTTGCAGCCAAGGGGAGCCGCAGGAAGTGGTCTGGCAGGAAATGGCAAACTGGAGCCAATGGGAGCTGCAAGACTCCATGGCTACGGAGTCAGTATATAAACAAACTACAGCGGCCAGTTAGCAGGTTTCTCAGAGTGGATTCACAGACCATTTTGAAAAACACTGCTCTAATATATAGTCTCTAAAGTGCCACACGGCTACTCGTTTTTAATCTTACTCATGGTTTTAGAGAGCGATGCTGTAGGTCATATTTTTATTTCTTTGTCTATAAAAGAAAATTATTTCAGCTGTAGATTTTATCCACAACTGCAGTAGCTCTGAGGTTAAAGCTATAACAATAAAAATGTAATGATATTATTTAAAAAATATACACACACACACGAAAGTGTTTCAGATTTGGAACCAGAGTAAATAAACTATTTTGTAATTAGTATTTCTAGACACAAAGTACTGAGCACTTACTAACTAGGTATAAAAGTGTTATTGAGACCCTATAGCTTGTTTGTTTGCATGATGACTTTGCAAATCTCAAGTACTTATAAATTAAAACAGACAGCTCCTTTCTGCTTTTGGTCTAGTCAGGAATGAGCCTCTACAACCCAGAGCAGAAAGTGTTATAAAGTTAAATTTTAATTATAATTTGAAATAAAGTGTATTTGTGACTAAAACAATATTTTTAAATTGTGCGCCAATGTACATTTAAGTTTTATTAGCATATAACAATGGCAAGCCAAAATGTCTTAATTGTTTTCCTTTCAGCGGATATGAAATAAATAAAACTGGTTATGTGCAAAGTATATTTTGTATCCCAAAACATTTATGAATACTTAGCAGCTTTTAAATTTAAAAGGTTTTAAATTTTCTTTAATTTCCCATTTCTCACCTGTTGAAATTAGAATCTGTGGCATTTTCAAAATAAACAATTGTGACTAAATAGCCATTACAATTCAAAATTCAATTAAGTAATGTTAATGGCATCTGTTCTTGACTGACAAATGGAAATTAATTCCATAGCAGAATGCTCCTGTATGATTGGAAGCAACTGTTCTTATTCATGGGTTTTATTTATCTGTTTCCATTTATATTTTTGGGCCTTTCAGCACTTACTTTAAGTGATTGCCATTTAGTATCTCCCCAAATTTTGTCTCCTTTACTTCCTCCATCATCTTAGTGGCTTTATAAACCCATGAATCCACCTCCAGCCAACAAAGGAAATTCCTTTTTATGGTATAGCTTTTTTAAGTTAGGAGCAATTTAGACCTAGAGCTGAGTCAAGTACAACAGCATAAGTTGGAAAATGTCCCCATCCTGATGTTGCTACCTGCATCTCAGAAAGTATCTTCTTTCACATTTAGGTAGAGGGAGAAATGCAAGTATCACCTAAAGAAAAGTAAGTGGGAAGTGAACCAATCAGCTACCCCTTGAAGTCCCAGGAGAGGAAAGCTAGCTAGTCACCTTCAGAAGATGCAGAAGGGCTGGTAGGCCAGAGCCAGAGGGACTTTCTCTAAGAAAACAATAGAGAATAAGGAGTGGGACTGATAAATCTTTCAAAATGGTGATGGAAAAATCAGTAGAATCCAAAAGTTTGTATAAATGTCAGATAAGCATCCAAATGTCTGTATGCTGCTTATTTATGTCAAACTGAAAGGTTGAAACTTTTGAGATTATCCTTTCCCTAATAAAAATAAGCTGGTCAAAATTCGGAAAGAAATTGTTTTGCATTTCAAATAGAACATCTAATCAGTTTTTAAAATATGTTAATTCTATTTTGAAGAAAAAAATGCACCACACTGTGTTTTCTTGCAGCAAGTTTAAAATTCACAGTCTATACAGTTCAAACATGACTGTAATGACAGGGGAAAAAAACAGGTCAGAGTTTCAACCTCCATGCATGAGCAACCACAGACTTCTGGTACCTGGAGAGATGAGAATGTATGGGAATATCCTCAATTGGCATTTCCAGAGGAATTTTCTCCCGTATGCATTTTCTTTCTTCTCCATGGCAAAGTCTTTCTCTATGCTCCAAAAAGAGACAATCTTCTGTGGCACCAGTATATATCCCAACAACCGCTGCATGCTGTGTAAAGAAATTACAATGTTTGTCTAAGTAAAATTAATTTCTGCCTGAATTAACTCAATTTCAACAATTTCATAATTAACTGAAAAACCTAATTGATATAACAACCTATTAGGACCGTGGTGTCCAACCAGTTCTGAAGCAGTAGCCACTATAGAGATAGCTCACTAAACAGAGGAAAGCAAAAACAAAACAAAAAAAATCCAAAAACTCTAGGCCATATTTTCAAAGGGCTTTCTTTCCAATTTGCATGCACAAAAGCCAGGCAGCAGTGAATGGACACTGTGTACTCAGCCTCCTGATTTTTGCAAGCAAATCCATACCAGAATTGAGCTTTGGATATTGTGTACATATTTGATCTGTACATATTGATAAGCATTCACAGATATATGCCTTACATATTCACACACGTACATAATCATTCACTTAAGTGTATTTGAATAATATACACATCTGTATTTATTTCTGTATGCTATACCTCTGTGGAAGATCAGACTTTGTAATCGTTAGGCTCCAACCATACAAACACTTAGAACCTAGAGTAACTTTATTGATGGTTGCAGTCAATGAGTTCAATAAGGAATTAAACTCATAGGTAAAGTATATTCACTTGCCAGCAGGATTGGGCCCTTAGCAAAAGAATATGAATAGAACTCATGTGAATTTGAATTACTTCTAACTTTTCTAAATGATTAGCAAAACATGTTTTTCTTAGGAAGGACTTAAATGTGTGAAGCTTTAAATAATAATGCTTGAGTTATCCAAGTACGTAAAAAATATAAGAAAAATTTTAAATAAATATTTGTTCTTGTTTTAATAGTTCTAGAAAGGCTCAACAGATTTTTTTAAAAGTTACCATAAGGCTGAAGGACAAATTTGAGCCTAAAAGAAAATATTTTAAGAAAGCTATTAGTGACTAAACAAAACGTGCTTCCACCAAGAGTGGCAAGACATTTCAGAAACAACAGCAATATAGCCCTGTGACCAGGTTTTCACAAGTGAAAACAATGAGACTCAGCCCCTTTTGAAATTAGGTCACTATTATATTGTTAACAGGATGAAATATTTTCTGGTCCCACTACCTTTAAAGTGAATTTCCTGTTCTTCATGTCTTCTTTCCAGGGCATCACATAATGTGCTGGAATCATCCCATGTTTGTTTGATAACTGTGGTAAGTGGCAATGAACAAACCTGTGAGACAAAACATTTTTAAAAGACAGTGGGACAGTGTGAGAAGACAGCTTGTGTTATTAACTGAATCAAACAAGTCCATATATAATCCATAGAGGGGAAAGTATTTAATATAATTAATAAAAATATTACTCCTTCCTTTCCCTCCAAACAAGCTTATTATTTGACTTGAAATTTCCATTTTTTCTCCTGGCACACTATCCTGAGTCAACAAATGTTTCTTCTTCTGTATTTAGCATAACAGGAGAGAAATGAATTCAACCACATAAATTGAGAAGTGTAATTTTTTAAATTTCCAATAACTGCATGCCCCCCTCACATCCACTCTCCATGAAAACACAAGACAGGAGCTGGCTTTGCACACTTGCTCAGGTTCAGGACAGCAGGAGTCTGCATCTGGCTGAGCGTGGTCTTAGCGCTCTACTGTTTGTATAGCGTGCCCATTGGGACACTTCTTGGAGCAGAGAAGAATGGTTTTATTTCTGTCCCTCCTCTCAGTGACACAAGAGGCCTGCCCAGCACTTCCTAGTCTAGGGTTGCCAACCATTGTCCTCGGAATTGGCATGACCCTGGATGCTGCTTCCCGTAGCTCCTCTTGGCTGCAAACAGTGAACTGGAACCAATGGGAGCTGTGAGACTCCATGGCTGCAGAGCTGGTAAATAAACAAACTGGAGCAACCCATTAGCAGCTTTTTCAGAGTGGGTCTGCAGGTCACTTTGAGAAACACTGATCTAAGGGGTATTTTTGTCCCAATCATGTGCTCTACTGCATATGTAGGCTTTCTTCCCACCCTTAATTTAAAAACTTCTCTATGCCTTCACTTTAGTTAAGAAAAGCAAAAAAAGTCATTATTGTAGTTAAGGTAAATCACAGTATATAAATTATAGGCAATCAATTTTGCATGCCTTCAGGTTTAGTAAGAAGCTGATTTCCATTTTTCCTCTCAATTTTACAAGAAATGCTTTGTCTTAAGAAATGTCTGTTTCTATCTGCTATTGATTCCTTTATCAAGAACATACTGGGCTTTGATCAAAGAGAGTAACATTAGGATTTAAGATAATTTTATTCCTCAGCTGTTCCCAGGAGTCCAAAAAATGTCTATATGTGTGATGGTTAAGCTTTATATTTTTCTAATGGCAGTATTTATGAAGCATGTGCCTTACAGCAGTGGACTGTGTTATCTGTATTTTGTAGGTGTGTAATGTGACTGACACATGGATAATTTCAATTGCTTGCCTATGATCAGAGAGGGTCAATGGCTCAGCCCACACTGGGACCCAGTTCTGGCCGGGCAGGCTCCCAAGTTGTTTGCTATCCACAGTTTCCCTTTGCCTGAGGTTTTACTTCACTCGATAGCAAAGACATTTCAAAAGAAGTAACTTATATCACATCCCCCAGTGTTTGGATTTTTATGATGGAATGGAAACTTTTTTCTGAAATGATTTTGCAACCTGAGTCAAACATATTGCAAATAGCAAGCTTCTTGTGCTATCTTCAAACTACATATAGAACATTTCAATGAACACCCTTGGTGTGTGGCATATGTAATTTTCCATCAAAATATTTTTGACAAACATATATTTGCTTCTCTCCACTCAAACACAGTCTGTTTTCCATGGACAAAAATAGGTATGCCATGGTGGCTTATGAAAGTTGTTCATTTTCTTCATGTCTTCATACTTGTCTTTTGGCTGGGTTCCCCAGCAAGACTACAGGTACATCTTCCAGGATGCACCTGTGATACACTCCCTTCACCAAGCGCCATATCTTCAAAAACTATTACATTGTGATGAGTCTGACACATTCATTATCCTAAGTATGTTCCTGGAATCACATGGGAGTGATTAATGAAAAACTCCAAAGCAGGCTATATAGATACCCAGCCCTTGAAACCTGATAATCTTGGAGGCAAGAGAAGGGAATGGTGTTGCTTGTCTCAAGTGGTCAGACTTCAAATGCCCAAACAGTATAAAAAAAGAGCTGAACTGTCACACTGGTTGTTCTTGTTCTTAATATGAAACCTGGCATGAATACAACAAACAGCTATTTTCAGGAGGTTGAGAAATAAAGCAAGACTTTTGGGGTGCGTATAGATTGGCAAGATTTTGCACAAAAGCTCCCGCTTTTGTGTAAAAACTTGCCAGCTGTCTACACTGGCCGCTTGAATTTGCTCAAGAGCACTGATGTTCTAATGTAAGAATTCAGTGCTTCTTGCGCAAATACTTTGATACTCTCACTCAGGTATAAGCCCTCTTGCACAAGAATACTTGTGCAAGAGGGCCAGTGTAGACAGGCACCTTAATTTTTTGTGCAAGAAAGCCCGGTTGCTAAAATGGCGCAAAAGCATCCACTTTTTGCGCAAAAGCATCCATGCCAATTTAGATGCTCTTTTGCGGAAATACTTTTAATGGAAAAACTTTTCCGTTAAAAGTATTTCTGCAAAATCATGCCAGTCTAGACACAGCCTTGGTGTAAAATTCTGGATTTAAACAGCCTTTACTTCAGAGTCTTCCTTTTGATTAGTAAATAGTCAGGAACTTTTGCTGAAAGGGGTAGGTGGTTCCAAAAAATTTGTCCTACTACAGCTCCACATGGAAGATGGGTAGTTTCTGTTTCATTTACTGTGCATATAAATCCAGTTTTAGTTTCTCTTTTCTTGATATGCTGTTATCCTGAGTAACCGTGTTTGCTTTAAAAGAGCTGTAGTGTGAGTGGTAAATCATTTGTACTTCTCCTCAGAAAGAAAGAAAGGTCTAGGTGGTGGTGTTCTCTATGCAGACCAGTTTGCTGAGGATATAGTGAATACAGGGGACTGCTACCTAAAACTCTGGTGTGGAGAGAGAAATGACTTAGATTCTTGCCCAGAGAGACATGAAAGCTAGAGGCTTCAGAACTGAATGAATACTCTTAGAGCAAACTATGCAGGGCGCTGGTGATATAGTTACTTCAAAACTGTGATTTGATTTGACCAGGGAAATCACCTGAAAGAGGTGAATATGAACCAGAGAGACCCAAATTACAACTCCCATGGAAACCTGCAGAGGCATTTCTAAACTGATTTTTTTTTTCAGGTTTAGCCATATTTTGCTTTTGATTTTCCACTGAAGAGTCATAGATTCCTAGGGCTGGAAGAGATCATAGGAGGTCATTGAGTCCAGCCCACTGCCCAAACCAGGACCAACACTAACTAAATCATCCCAGCCTGGACTTAAACATCTCTAAGAATGGAAATTCCACTATCTCCCTAAGTAAACCATTCCAGTGCTTCACCACCCTCCTTGTGAAATAGTTTTTCCTACTATTCAGTCTACACCTCCCACACTGAAACTTGAGACCATTGCTCCTTTTTCTGCCATCCGTCAGTACTGAGAACAGCCTTTCTCCATCCTCTTTGGAACCTCCCTTCAGGAAGTTAAAGACTACTAACAAATCCCCCCTCACTCTTCTTTTCTGCTAACTAAGTAAGCCCAAATCCCTCAGCCTTTCCTCATAGGTTATATGTTCCAGCACCCCGATCATTTTGTTTCCCCTCTGCTGGACCCTCTGCAATGTGACCACTTCCTTTCTTTAGAGGGGGGCCCCAGAACTGGATGCAATACTCCAGATGTGGCATCACGAGAGCTGAATAAAGTGGAATAATAACTTCTTTAGATTGACTGGAAATACTCCTCCTATTGTATCCTAATATGCTATCATAATCAGGAGTGCTGGTGACTAAGGGACCTGGTCAGCCAATAACAATGCAGGTAGGAATTTCAAACTGGGACAAAGGAGTCTTTATCTTTCCTGCCTTTGTCTGAAAAAGCAGAGCGTTTTCTTCCAAGACCGTGGGAGATGGGAGGCATTTCTCTCTACAAGAACAGACTTCCTACTCAGCCTGCTCAATCAAAACCTTTCCATGGACCATCAGCCAACCACCAAGTTTTTTAAGTTTATCAGGACTGCAAACTGGAAAGTATGGGAAAGAATCAGTGCACAGAATCAGATATACGTAAAGAGAACATACAGAAACCTGTTAGAGAACACTTCAATCTACCTAATCACTCTTTAAAAGATCTCCAGGTGGCTGTCTTATCACAAACCAATTCTATAAGCCAAATACACAGAGAGGCATTGGATTTACAATTTATCCACAAATTAAACTCTTAGACTGATGGCCTCCTCAATCGAGATAACAGATGGCTGGGACATTATCAACCTAATATTCAATGAAGGTGCCAACAGCTCTTTGTCTGTGTAGATTCTTGCATTAGTACCCTTCCTCTCTAATAGCTATCCTATAATCCTTATCTGCTGCTTCTTTTAACTATCCAGTCTTTCTGTGCTTATAGGTTACCAATTCTGTGTACTTGTTTTTTAATTTGACATTTTCATACCCTCTGCTCTTTGTTTCCTGCCCCCTTCCTTTTTTTTCTTCCCTCCTCTCCCTTCTCCCCTATTTATTTTGGGTCTGCACATCCTAAACTCAAAACTCCAGTCATCTGAAGAAGTGGGTTGTGCCCATGATAGCTCATGATGTCATATACATGTTTTGTTAGTCTATAAAGTGTTACCAGACTATTTGTGGTTTTTAAAGTTTATCCTGTACAGACTAACTCGGCTACCCCCTGATGCTTAAAAAAATCTGATGTGGTCCCTAACTGAGACACCTCACTCCCCTCACACTCCAGCTCCAAGGAGAGTGGAGGGGAAGGAAAGGAGGACTGAGTTTCAGGGCTTTCCACAACCCGAGATTAACACTTCTGGGGTTCTGGGGGTCCAGTGTTAGTAGATTTTGTGGGACCCCTAAGCCCTGATAGGGAGCAAAAATTGGGGGGAGGGTTGTGTGTTTGGGGGTGGGAGGTGGGGTGCAAGAGTGGGGTGGAAGTAGAAGTCTGGCTAGGAGATTGAATATAGAAGTGGGCTGAGAGGGGCAGGAATTTGGTTCAGAAGTTGGGTGCAGAAGCAGGCATAGGGTGGGGGATCTGAGCCAGAGGTTGGGTGCAGGCAGGGTGCATGGCAACATTGTATCTAGTGTTGCAAGATATTTATATGTCAGGTACACTAAAGATTCATATGTCCCTTCATGCTTTGACCATCATTTCAGAGAACATGCTTCCATAATGATGATATTTGTTAAAAAAAGTATTAATTACATTTGTAATTGAACTCCTTTAGGGAGAATTGTATGTCTCCTGCTCTGTATTTACTTGCATTCTGCCTTTATAGGGCATGTTACAGGAATCTGAGATGATGACCCAGCCCATTATGTTTGTTTTAAGAACACCTTCATTGCAGTTATATCAAAGAAGATGCCGATATGAGATTTTTAAAGATAGCTACAGTACTCGACTCAAGATTTAAGAATCTGAAGTGTCTTCCAATATTGGAGTGAGATGAGGTGTTCTGTTGTTTAACAATGTGATTACATTTGTGCTTCATCACAATTAATTTTTTAAATTGCAATTAATTATTTGAGTTAATTGCATGAGTTAACTGCGATTAATCAACAGCCCTAGTTTTTTATTTTCACTGTATATGGATCTTAGTAGAGTAGCTGGTTG